GTGGGGAGGAGGCGGGCGCACGAAAAGCTGGGGTTTTCTAGACCCAGAGCCTCCTCTTCCACCTGCTCGGTTCTCTCTCCTCTCAAACCAGAGGAGAATGTTTCGGGGGCTCTGAGGACTGCAGAGGACACAGTCCGGGTTAATTCAGGGGTCAATGATTTGGCAGGACAGCAAGAGATAGGGATGTTGACAAAAGACCCAGGGAGGTAGCCAGGGCTCAGCTATCCTCACCACCACCACCACCACCCATGGAAAGATCAAAGGCAAAGACCTTTTCCGTCTCCCTCCCTGCTTTTCCAGCAGCTCAAACTGTGATGGGTACAAAACAGACCCCCAAACCCTAATCCTGGTCTCACTGGTTTCATGAGGAACCCCACACACTGCCACGGAACTAACACTTGAGTCAGGGGCGCCAGTGGTGCAAGGTTAGCTAAGGCACCTCCCAACTCTGGGCTTGGGGTTCCATATCTGCAAATCAGGAAGAAGACCCTGCTCCCCGGGTCACTGGGAGAATTAATTAAGGCTTCTCACCAGCTTCCAGGGTAGCCAATGAAAGGTTCTAGGGCAAAGTTATTAAGACGATATTGACACTGCGCCATGCACAGCTCCAAATTATGACACACATCCATTCACAGGCACAACTGTGATTGCGGACACACAAAATGCCAGAGTGCACTGTATCCAATCCCGGAAGCATGGTTCCTGGGAAGAGTCACTTCTATAATAACTGCATCTTCCCTCAAGCCTGAGGGACTTAGTCACACACTGTCCAAACTGGTGGGAGCCCGGCAGACCAGGTTCTTCTCTATCACACAGCAGGAAATGGGACCCAGAGAGGGGAGGGGTTTGCTCAGGACCACACAGCACAGCCAAAGAGATAGCTCTGTTCTCCCGATGTCCCTGGAAGACTGAGTCTATCATGAGGTCATTTCCAAGAGCAGGAAAGTGACAACAAACCTTCTCCCAGGGGAGATCAGCAGTCAGCTGGGGACCTGACCTCAACGCACCCTTTGCCAGAGCAGGGGGTCACCAGGGAAGGTGGTGGGCTTTGCTGGACTTGCACGGTGTTTCTTTGTTATTTATACTGTTTTGTTCATTGATAACCAGTATTGTCAATAGGCCGATTTCATGTTACAGATCCATATTCCCTATTTCTCTTGAAGCCCTGGGAAAACGGACAACTCTGGGTCCAAACTCACACCGGGCTGTGACCACACTCAGCTGGCCGAGGCAGCAGCCCCCCATCTCGCTTCCTCACGTGAGTCTGTTGTATCCATTTTTATGATTTCCTTCATCCCCTAGAAGTCCCCAAGTGTGACCCTGTCCTAGAGGCCAGCCACCACCCTGTGATACATACCAATGCCCTTTGTCATCTGTTCTCATCTCAATCTCGCCAACCCTGAATCCAGAGGCTCTGTTTCCAGTGTCCAAGGATGCCAGCCCTCCATGGGGCTGCATGTTCTCCTAAAGTGACACAAGGTGCCCAGGCCTGGGGCGCCAGGCAGAGGGCCCTTGGAAGTACTGAGCAAGGGTGGAATGCACCCCTGTGTCACCGCCCACCCCTCCGACCTGGGCTCTGCTTCCCAATTATGGCCTTCCTCTCCAGGAAGGCACTGGTCCGGCTTTAGCATCCGCGAAGCACCTGGCCCTGGGGGAGGTGGTTAACCTCTCAGACAACAACAGATTAAATCCTACTCTATTCTTTCCCTGAGTTTACACAGCACAGAGCACAGAGCC